CGGCCGGGGGAGTCTCGACTGAAACCGCTGTTCCTCGGGCCCTGGCAAATTAACTTGCGCAGGGGCAGAAAGGGGTCCGGCCTGGCGAGGCCCTGACGGAACTCTGTACTACATGCAATGGCTTGTTTCCTCGACTCAACGCTGGCGTACAGTGCGCAGCGTGCTGCTAGCACAACGCAACTGGTTTGCCAGATCTCGCAATTATCTTGCACGCCGCTTCGGCGCGGCATTGTTTCGCAAGGCGGCGGAAGAGAGGAGACGGACAAGTTCCATAACTAACTCGCTTCAATTCAATGAACAACGCGCACCTGGTCAGGATTCCCAAACATCGGCCAGAGCGGGATGAGGCTAAATCCGTTCAAAATCGACCCCTGGACCCTTTAAAAAGTCCATCTTGTGCAGTTCTTCACCCCAGATCCGCTTTTGATGGTCCCAGCGGGGCTCGAGAGGCCAAAGCATATAACAAAAGCCTCGAGACTCGCCACCCCGTCCCGCTGGCCAGAGCCAACGTTGGGCCCCCAGTGTGAAGTCCTCCTGGCGCTGCCTAGCGGCCTAACGTCCCCCGTCCCCCACCCCCGCCCATGCTGGGCACCACGGGCGCCCCCCGCGCCGTTTCGCCAACGTCGCGCTGGCGACCCTCCACGCGCGCTGTCCAGCCTTTTCCTCGGCGGGGAGGTGGGTGATTCCGCAGAGGGTCGCCCCCACCAAACCGCAGCGTGCTGTGTTTGGTCGGCCACCCCGCCCGGGTCGCCGCCGTAGGATCTGTAGCTTCGTCGCGGGTGGCTCTTCTCTCCCGGTCCCTGGCCCTGCCTGTCTGCTTGCGGCTGTTTCCTCTCCCTTCGGCCTCGTTTTCCCCCCCCCTCCTCTTTCCTTGCCGTCGAGTCCCTGCCTTGTCTGCTTGGAGTTGCTTCCCTTCGGCTCTATTTCCTTGCCTCCTTCTATCTCCGCCCGTGCCCCCTTCCGCCTGCCCGCCCGCCCCGCCCCCCGGCGTCCCGCCTGCGCGTCTGGCGTCGTCTGTCTTGTCTGCTTCTCCCCTCCTCCCCCCCTTTTCGCTGGGTAGCAAGGGCTGCCCGGGAGCAGCGTGGTGGGAGCAGCGTGGAGCTTCTCATGACGAGACGTAATCCCCCGCAGCCCCGAGCTGGCCGCGCAACGTGTTCCATGGCGGTGCGCCAGCTTGTGCAGGCGGACGGAATCCCTGCCGAACCTTGGGACCTTGCAGGTTGCGCCAAATCTCTTGTTCGACTCTCTCGAGCCATCAAAAAACGAGACGTGCCTGAAGGGGCCCTGGGACACACGAATACATACACACAAATAAAACAAATCCCCATATTTTCCCATATATTCTGGGTTTTTGTCTTCCCGCCCAATTCCCATATTTTCCCGTGTTTTCTTCGGAATCGACGATTCATTGTGTCTGTGTGTTTTTGTCCCCTCCTGAGTGCCCTCCGACACCCAGGGGAGGGGCCCCGAGTCCACGCTGGGGGCCCGCGCGGAGCTCCCACAGCCTCTGTGCTGAACTCACGCAGATTACAATCAAAAACCTAATAAGGACGCGCGGTAAGGACGCAAGACCCTTGGAAGCCGAAGTTGGGATGTTGGGGCGGCGGACGACAAACACACCAAGGACGCAAGAGCAAGGAAGAGCAAGGACGCTAGGGTACCCTGAGCAAAGTCGCGCGTCCTTATTAGGGTATTTGACTGTACGTAGTGCGCATGGGATCACCCCCCCCATCCCCCCCCCCCTCCGTCGCCTTCTGAAGCAGTGCTGGGCCGAAACGGCGTGCAAGCGAGTTTCAATGTTCATGAAGTGCAGAATCCCTTCAGGGTCCCCCCCTCCCCCGCCATGAAGGTAAAGTTGCCTGAGCCGGAAGAGAATCTGCCTCCTGGCGCTCCCTCCGCCCCTACAGTACTCTTTGTCGCGGCGACTGGGGTCCAAGCAAGCCTTCAAGACGCGGCCGGGGACACCGAAGGACGCTTCGGGGCCAAACCAGGCAGACCACGAGCGGGAGAGGCGCGCAGGGGGGGAGAAGAAGCCGTGGGCGGCGGAGCACGCTCAGGCCACGAAGTCCTTGTGCGTCCCGCCACGCCTGCACGGTGCTTCTGGCAGGGGAGCCCAGCATCGAATCGATAATTCGGATCGGGGATCGAAACGAGTCGGATCGGAGAACATCGACAGCCGCGTCGAGAGAAGTCGAATCGGCGAAACTCGCCAGGCTGATAAGGCCTCCATTGAACACTGGGAACCCACATCCGAATCCGAGGTCGAATCGAATCGGCACCGGAACCCACTGACATCGGTTCGAATCGCATCGGAGGGCCCGAAGCGAGCACTGTCCAGCGCCCCCTGGCCCTTCAGCGTGAACGTCCCGAGCGCTTCCCGGCCTCCCGCCCCGCGGAGCGGAGCGACACGCTGCCCTTCTTGCAGGGGGCGGCGTGTCGCCAGGGCCGCCCCCGCGACACGCGAAGCAAAAGCTCCGGACGCGAAGGGTCCGGGCCCCCCCCCCTCCGACGCGGCGGGGGTCGGCCCTCGGGCCAGCCTCTGGGGGCCGATCGGGACGGTGCGCCCGCCTGCCAGCAGGCGGCCTCCTGCCCTGACCTTCCAGGAGGGCTAAAAAATAGCACGCGACTTAAGAACCTATCCCAAAGCTACTCTGTGTCTTGGTTCTAGGCTGTTTCGTTTCTTTGTTTAAGTTTTTAAGCCTCCCGTGCTAAAAAATAGCTCTCTGGAAGGTCAGGGTGGCGCTCCCCCCCCCCTGGGAGGAGGAGGAGGAGGAGGAGGAGGAGGAGGAGGAGGAGGAGGAGCCTCCTGGCGCTCCCCCGCCCCCCTCCGCCGCCTCCTGCGGCTGTCGCTGCGCGGTGCAGGCTCCGAGGACCAGCAGCACCACGGCCGGCACGAAGCTGCGCACCTGGGCAGGGCGGGCGGGGGCCGCGGAGCCTGTGGGGCCTCTCGGCAGGGGTCCGAGCACGGCCCTCCCTGAGCCCTCCTCCTCCTCCTCCTGCTGCTGCTGCTGCTGCTCCTCCTCCTCCTCCTACTACAACACCACCACCACCACCACCAACTACTACTACTACTACTACTACTACTACTACTACTACTACTACTACTACCACTACTACTACTACTACTACTACTGCTACTACTACTACTACTACTGCTACTACTACTACTACTATCACTACTACTACTACTAGTACTACTACTACTACTACTACTACTACTACTACTACTACTACTACTACTACTACTACTACTACTACTACTACTACTACTACTACTACTACTACGACTACGACTACGACTACTACGACTACGACTACTACTACTACTACTACTACTACTACTACTACTACTACTACTACTACTACTACTACTACTACTACTACTACTACTACTACCTACTACCACTACCACTACCACTACCTACCACTACCACTACCACTACTACCACTACTACTACTACTACTACTACTACTACTACTACTACTACTACTACTACTACTACTACTACTACTACTACTACTACTACTACTACTACTACTACTACTACTACTACTACTACTACTACTACTACTACTACTACTACTACTCTCGCAGTCTTACTCAAGAATCCTAGTCTCGCCTCGATGCCAGCTACGTGTCTTGTCCGGGCGACCACGACTCCCGGTAGAAAATACGCTGCGGTGCTCGTGGCCGTGCTCTCACCCCTGACTCCTCCTGATCGTCGGCCCGCCTCTTCACCTTTGCTGCGAAGGGTGTGCTGCTGGGGTACAGCCAAGACAAGCCCACGGGAAACTCATCGCAAGACAAACCCAACCCTGAAATTCGCAGAAGTTTCTCGGGCCAAACGTTGGGTTTCTTGCTCAGCGGCTGCCTGAAATTTTAGGGTGCCCTGGGCCAGGCTGTCTAACGATGGCTCGCGCAACGCATCTCAGCATCAAGAAAGACACTCAGGGTACCCTGCCAGCTTCGGTTTTCCCCGACCGCTGCAAGCCTTCAGCGCCAACACTAACCAACAAAGCCCAGGGTACCCTGGCAAAGCGTATACGGTGATCTTTGACAGGGGCTCTCACTGTAGACGGCTTCGGAAGATCGCAACTCATTCCCGATGCAGTGGTGATGCGGCGCGATCGTCCGAGACCACTTGTGCGGACCCCGTTGTGGGTGAACAGTGCGGATTTCCCTCCCGAGGCCCCTCGGGTCGTGACAACATCGGGGGGGCGGCCCAAATTCATGATCTTCCCACAACCGGGGGGTCCTTGCGCTGCTGCATGGCCCCGAGACCAGCGACAAGGTGGGTGGGAAGCCAGGTCACAAGACTGCTCTGGATGAACAGCCCGCCGCGGGGAAGGGGTCGAGACCTCGAGGGTCCACAGTGCGCCGGAATCACGACGTCTGGGGTCTGGGTCGGCACGGCAGAATCGAGACGGCAAACTTCTCACCGTTCTGGCGCTCCACAGGCCCGGTTCAGGCCCACGGCCATCGACGAACAACCCTGGGAAGAAAAAACAAACATGCGAAAAGGGGTCGCACATCTCGGGTGCCCAAGCCGCGAAAAGGGTGCGACGTCAGGTCTGGGGCGTTGCAAAAGCAGACCTTGCGATGATAATGCCGCTGATTATGACGATACTGATGGCGACGACGATGGCAACGATGATCATAATTACACGTCACACGGATGCTGATGATAATGGTGGTGACTTGGATGTTGCTGATGACGATCGTGATTGCGATGAAGATGATCAGGATGGCGATGTTGTTGCTGGTGGTGATAATGATGATGATGATGATGATGATGATGATGCTGGTAATGATGATGATGATGATGCTGATGATGATGATGATGATGGTGCTGCTGATGATGACGATGACGATGACGATGACGATGACGATGACGATGACGATGATGATGATAATGATGATGATGATGATGATGATGATGATGATGATGATGATGATGATGATGATGATGATGATGATGATGATGAGTTGTTGGTTTTGCTGTACATGTCATTGTTAGTACACTTCCCTCCTCCGAATCAGCCATCTGGGTTTGAGCAGCGCGAGCGCAGTCAGCTCGCTGCAGCTGCCTCGACGCAGGTTGGCGGCAACTGACAAGGCCTTCTCATACAGCGACTGCCCTGAGAGCGACGGCAAGCCAGTCGAACGACAGAAAAGGCTGCTGAGATTACCCTTGCGTTCCGCAAAAAAACACCGGGTACATCAAGCGTTGTCACAGATTGGAAGCCTGGCGCGGTTGTTGTACCAAAATGTTGATCACTTTGCCTTCCTGCCCATGCCTTGCGGTATGAGACCTTCGAGGCACGTGCAAGAAAGAGGACGCACCAGAAGGCTCCGCAAACGACGCACGGGTTTCAGCAAGCCGGGGACAGGAGGGACCTTAGAGGTGCCATCATGAACCTCCTCGCTCACCGCAGGCCTGAATCCGAGGCGGCGACCTCGACGAAGGAACACTGGCACCATGTGCACGCTCGCGGATGAGATCGGTAGGCCGACGATCGCGAGCACCAGAAGCTCCATGCGCATCCTCACCATTTTGAACATCATGTACGCCCCCTTGATCGCCGTCGGCGGGCCGACAATCGAGGGCTCCAGAAAGTCCCAACGACCCCGCACCAACACGAACGTGAGAAGCATCACCAAGCACGCCACCGGCAGGCCAACGATGTTTGGAAACGCCAGAAGCTCCATCATCATCCGCGCCACCATGAACGGCACGGGCGTCACCAGGAAAGCCAGGAGGACGATCGGGGACATCAGAAACTTGATGCGCATCCGCACCATCACAAGCGGCACAGGCATCGGCATGCACGTTTTCAGCAGGCCGAAAATCGGGAACGCCAGAAACTTGATTCGCATCCGCGCCCATTGAGCGGAATGAAAATCACCTGGTGCGCCATCAGCGAGCCGACGATCAGGAGCACCAGAAACTCCATGAGCAGCCGCACCACTGTGGACAGGACGACCATTACCAGGAATGCAATCTGCAGGCGGGCAAACTCGGGCACCTGAAACTCCATGGGCATCTGCGGCACAATGAACATGACGAGCACCACGAGGCGCGCTATCAGCTGCCCGAGAATCGAGAGCACCAGAAGATGAATAGCATTCCCATCACGGTGAACCCCAGGATCTCCAGGGACGTCAGCAGCAGGACGGCGATAGAGAGCGCCACGAGCAGCCTTAGCACCCCCGCCGACGGCAAAACGAGCACGGCCAGCAACACCATCGGCAAAACGACGATCGAGAAAACCAGGAATCCCACGAACCCCAGCACCACCCGGAAAATTTCGACTGAGGCTGGGCATGCCAGGACCGGCGCATGACCGAGGCAACCTGGAACGCAACGAGCACCTGCAACACCAAGATGAGTAGCATCTCCAGCTTCATGATGTACGGCAGGAAGAAACAAACATCACACGCACCTGCCAGCTGCCGATCTGGATCAGCGAGAGAAGGAAGAAAATGATGCATGATGCGTAGGGGCGGCACCTCCACGATGGGCGGCTTCATCAGGAAAGGCAGCTCCCTGATGAAGAAGTACGACCATGATCGGCGGCGGCCGCCTCAGGCATC